AGTCTTCCTACCAATATGACCGAGTTGCGAAAACAAGGTAAAACAACTTCCATACAACGAAAGGAGACTGCGACCACAAAAATGGTCATACCATCTTGGTATTCATACCTTAAATCAGTCACTTTCTTTTCCTTCTCTTTCTTCACTCCGCCGTGGCCCGTGAGGTTCAGAATGTTCTATTCGGCGCCATATTTAAATTATTGTATTTCTATTGTCAGTTCCCACATACTGTATTTCGGCCGTTTCAAAATAGGACAATCGGTAATACTATTTGTTTCTTTTCTCTCGTCGTTTCTGGGTCTCCATATTTGAAGTTTTAAAAGGCAAGCGTTTTATATTTTAGAGACAGTCTATGTCCTTCGGAACACAACAATCTACTGGTAGTCTCTAAAATCTACTTATACGCGAAATATAAGTAGATCAATAAATTTGGTGTCGGTTCTAACTTAATTTGCTCTTATCTCCGTAATATACTACCACCCTGTCCAAGGTATAGTTAAATACAGGAAATGTGTTGTGTATAACCCATAAAATACTGTCCATGATCTGAACGTAACTATTTAACCAGCACTATTATACCTCAGTTGTATTCTTTTTATGTAAGCATTTATTGCTTGGCTGTTCGTTCTAGCCTTTTATATACTATTGCCTCAGCAGCATAGTAGCCATTGAAATAAAACAAAAGGACTGCATTTCATTAACCAAATTGCGGAATAATCCAGTCTTATTTATGTAGCAACTATTTACTGCACGTCGTCCACTTCATGTTAAACTAACAAGCAGAAATGCTTCCATTCGGGGCTTCTGCCTTTTCGACGAGGAGAGAGTTTAACATAGCAAAACTCACTGTTTACTTTCACGTTTAATCAACCTGTCACTAATGCAAACAAACATTTTAAGCCCAAAATATCGGAAAAAATTTCCTATAAGTTAGTTCGTTTAAATAGACCAATCTAACATCCTTACAGACTGCCAAGCAAGCCGTACTCCACTCCCTTGCTTTGTATATGCGGCAAATTGCATCTAATTGGCATACTTATCAATAGTATCGGTCTCTACTGGCTCGGACGATTGTTTGGTAACTGTCAGGCAAAGCCGAAGAACATTCTCCTCGGTACTGAGTAGCCAAGCCGGTAGGAGGAGAATAGTAGAGAATGCCGTTTCATTACGCTTTTCCCAGGCTGCCGGATTCTGTCTAACCGACCGCCAGTCTTCGGCCCGACCTCTTCTGCTCCCTGCCGAGTTCGGTTTCTTCTTCTAGAGAAATGCGGACCCTTTCTGACCTGTTTAACGGCTCTTTGAAGCTCTATGTCAAACAGGTGTATTAGGAAAATTTGGTTTCGAAGAATCCCTCAATTGATTCATGTTGAAGTAAGTTTCATTTCGTTTGAAGAGGCGAATGGAAAGGATTCATAAGTTGGTTCCCCTGAAGGCTGTGGGGGAGGATGCAGCTGTTCGGCTTCAATTGCACCCATTTAACGCTTCATCTGTAGCAACTTCACATGTCATCTGCAGTCACTTAACTTAACTTATGAGCAGATACAGAGGCAAAACATTGGACATCTGATTAAAATATGAGATGCATAAGTGGACCAAATTGGAATATAAGAAGGAAGTAGGTTTTTGGGGAATTATCGTAAAACATGCTGTCCTGCTCTGATAAAGTGCGTCACATGACGGACGAAAGCTCAGGGCGCAAGGCGGTGCGCCGAGTACCTATTCGCAAAAATCTACAACCACAGCTCCAAGGCAACCACCCCCCATGGCCTCTGGTGGAATCAACTTATGCATCCCTTCCACTCGCCTCTTCAAACGAAATGAAAGTTACTCCAACAGATGTTTTAAAGTTTGTTGTTTCTTTCAAAAAATGCATGGGTTACCATTATTTCTGCCTCACAGGATTGGAATAAATGCCCATTTGGTCCTGAAAATAATTTAGGCCATATTTTTAGCATAAATTTGTGCTTACATGTAACG